CCGCGCGCTTTGCCGGGTCCCCCGAGCGGTGCGCGCTCACGGCGGGTCTCCGAAAAGGGGTGGAAAGGAAGGGGTTCGGACACCGCGCATCCCGGGGCCTCCCCCCCCCAGCCCCCGGAAAGAGGGGGACCCCGCGTCTACCCTCCACCTAGGTGGCCCTCGATCTCTCCAGACAGTTGCCGACCCCCCTCCCCCGGCGCCCCGCACCTACCTCCTCGGTTTCCTTAGCCCTCGCCACCCAGGGCCGCACAGCGCCCGCAAACTTTGTAAACCACACGTGGGGGGGGGGGGTGCGCGGCCTCTGGCTGCAGTGAGGTCGCCTTCAGTCCAGAGCTCTCCTGAGCACTGCTAAGGTCAGAAACCTCCCTGGCTCTGAGAGCCCACGGGAGAGGTAAGGGACGTCTGCAGAGACCCCTGGTGGACACCGAGGGCCCTGGGAGAACAAACGGGAGAGGAAGGAGGCAGCGAGGACAGGACGGGGTGCAAGAGGAGAACCGAACAGGGATCCCCCCATCACCCCCTGCACATACCTACCAGCGTGCCACCTTCAGGATGCACCACCTGTCACTGGTTACTGCCCAGCGCTGCTCCGTGGAGTACGGTAACACCTGAAGTAAGGTGGAGATGATGTTAGCCTGCCAGGGGTCCATCAGATGCAGATAGACAGCTGGTAAGCAGCCCCATGCTGAGCCCTGGGCCCAAAAACCAGCCCTTGACCGGGCGACTCTGGCCTATCACCCTAGCTACTCGGAGGTTGAGATCAGAAGATCACGGATAAAAGAACCCAAACAAATTCAAGAGACTCGTATTAGCTCCGATTAACCAGCCAGAAGTGGAGATGTAGCCCACGTGGTGGAGCACCAGCCTAGAGAGAAAAAGCTAAGCGAAAACATGAAGCCCTGAGTTCAAACCTCTGTGCTGGTACATGTACACACACACACACATGCATTAAATTTAAACAATAAAAATCAGCCCTTAAACTCCTGGTGCCATGCTTCTACTTCCTGTCTATCTGTATACTCAAAGCCTCCAGCTCAGGTTCCAGAACATCAGACTTGTATGGGGGTTGGGGGGTGATAAATAGACCTGGAGGGAACAGGCACGCCTTGAAGCAGGTGGGTTTCCGCTGAGCACCTGTCTACTTGCAGAAAGCATCCTTCTCAAAGCAAGGTTTCCTACCAGCATTCCCTAAGTGTCTCCATTCTCACCCCACACCCCAAGTGAGCTGTTCACTCTTGGAAACCTACCATCCTGCAGCCAATTAGTTGAGATATGAGTGAGAGAAGGATGAAGTGTCTACAAACTGAGCAATACCCTATATATTTACGCACATTGTACATATTTATATACATCTATGTATATTTACTGCTCCCAAATACTGCACACTGAGTACATACAGAGACACATCATACGTGCACATAGGTATTAGTCATTGGCCAAGTTCATCCACACCTTATCTCCCAACAACCTCATAAGGCCAATCAGCTGTCAATCATCTTCTGCAGATGAAGGTCACCAGCACACTGGAGCGAAGGCGGGGGAGTGAATAGTTGTGAGTTGTGTAAAGATTACCACTTGCACAATCAAGCAACTGGGTAGCCACATAAGCATTCCCACACTTCTTATATTGACAGGTAGGTTGTTAAAGCACTGTTTTCAGCTGAAGTACCTTCCATCTCTCCATTCGGTGCTGGCTCCTGAAGTATGTAATAGGGCTGAGCATAGGATCTGGTTTGGAAAACAGGCCAGAAAGCTTGAGGATGGGCTGCCATAGTCTCAGACTAGCTTATTTGGACAGGCTTGGAGAAGATGAAGGACACACGCTGGCTCCCGTGATTATCTCTACTACCCTTGTCCAAGAAAAAGAGGGAGAAATTTTTCAAGATTGATTACATTTTCTTCAGGGTTGCTGAGAGAGATCCTGAGATGACCACTTCCAAACTTCCCATTTGGATGCCAAATATATCAATATAGAAATTAGCATATCAAATGTATCATGTAAGTACATAACACTTTATACCAACTCCTTAATTTAATTCTAAATAAAGAGTTGGTGCCCCTCAATGTGTTTGAATACTAATATATGAAAAATACAAGAGTTGGAAGAGTAATAAAACTAAGTAACACGGGGCTAGGAAGGTGGCTCAGTGGTAGAGTGCTTGCCTTGCATGCATGAGGCTCTGGGTTCGATTCCTCAGCACCACATAAGCAGAAAAAGCCAGAAGTGGCGCTGTGGCTCAAGTGGTAGAGCACTCTCCTTGAGCTCAAGAGCTGAGGGGCAGTGCCCAGGCCCAGAGTTCAGGCCCCACAACCAACAAAAAAAAAAAAAACAAAAACAACTAAGTAACATGATCATTGAGGAGAGAAAAAGAACAACACATTTCATCTAGATCTATTAACCAGAAAGAAAGGTTTAGGAGGATCCAGTAGGGAGTCCCTATTACTGAGCTGTGTAAGAACTGTGCTTAGAGTCCATCTTCAACAAGAGAGGCAGCAGCAGATATGAGGGAAAGAGCCACAGCCCCTGCAGCTGCTCCTCTAACCTCGCCCAGCAGAGCTGAGCAGAAAACCTGCAGGAGCACAGGACCCTAGAGACCTCAAGGGCGAAGGGCACAACACACCAGGTTGAACACAGTCTCAATCCTCTGCCTTGGTCTCCTGGGGACTAGATTGCAAGCATACACCATCACGCCACGCCAAATCCAATTTTTAAAATTGATTCAAAATTAAGAAGTTTTCTTGTGAATATTACTTTGCAATGCAACGTTGCTTGTTTAAACTTTTTTTTTCATAAACATGATTCAGGAATTGAAATGTTTCATTGGAACTACCAAGGATGGAAAATCTGGGAGGGAGGGAGGGAAGAGGTGATATTGTCCAAAAACAAATTACTCATTACCTGACTTACGCAACGATAACTCCTCTGTATATTACCTTTAGAAGAATAATCTAAAATTAAAAGTAAAAAAGCAAAAAGAATTACCAAGGACATCATGCAATGCTGATGATGTGGAACAGAAAGAAAACATACAGAAAGTTCTAGAAATAAGTGAAATCAAGATGCCAGTACTTTTAAAAAAATAGATTCTAAAAAAAAGGTAAAATATGATAGGGTATGATATCTTCAATAAGTTGTTTCAAATAGGTAATCTATAGCTATTAAACCTGCACTGCAGAAACACTGCACAGAAGTCAAGCCAGACTTCTCAGCCTCTTAGGATCTCTTAGTCTAGTCCCAGAGCCATTACACTTGTGAAATCCATTCATCAAAGCTCAATCACTTTACTTTCTGGAAGACACACTCAAGTCTTGGTGACAATACTAATCAAGGTTATCAGATTTCTCAGATCATAGCACACATGCTGTGTGGACACAGGCAGGTTGTACAAAGCTGTGGGGTAGCAATTCATCAAAATAGTACTGAAGTATATGCTGTACAGTCAAGTAAAGGATACTTGAAAAAATGAATGGTATTCCTAAGTAAATTTTAGTGTCATACTTGACCCAAAGCTTTGTAGAGGAAAAAAACCCCTAGATGTTCAAAACCATTGTAATTCCAACATAAGAGAGCAGAAGAAAGTACCCTTTAATGTCTCCTGGATATCTTACATTAACATCTGTAAAAACAAACATCATAATGAGTGAGTTGCTTTTGGCTATATTCAAACTTTCCCTCTCACTATTCATGCTTTTTCTCCCTAGGTCTATCAAGGAGGAGTGACAGGAAAAGAAGCATGTCATTTAGCACCACTGCCAAGCTTGTTTCTCCACAGACAGGAGATAGGAAGCTGTTCTCTACTGCAACACTTCCAACAGCCTGGCTGAGACTTCCCATGAAAGCCATCTAGAACTTCACATG